CTCTTACAACAAAACATAGTGGGTTGGTCGTATAATTTGAAAAATGAGTTGGAAATAAAAAATGGTAATCTTTACCTTTTTTTTTACTAGACATAATAACTTTTTTTTGTACTGGTTGACAACCAATATCATCGTACAATAGTATTAAGAACCATGACTAGGTATGATATTCTTACTTTATGTGTCAACAATCGCAAAAATAACGAAAATTATGTTCATTTCTATCTTTGTCAATTACTACCAATAATTGACCTCCATATCTTTTTTTTTTTTTCCAAGTGGCAACCATCTATACATATAAATGACTTATAAGTTGATTAATAAACTCTTTTACACCTTTATAACAAACATAAAACCTACCAATATAGTAGGAAAGTTTGTTACAAGTCACACAATAGATAATTTATTAATAGTGTTTCTCTTGCAAGTTTTTCACAGTAGTATATGACTATAACATAAAGTGTTATGCCACTGTTTTCTTAAATCTTTTTTTTGTTCAATTGTATTTCTTTTAGTGTAATAGGGATTGTAATTTCCACAACAAACTCCATGTTTTATGTCTTTAATAACTTAATTACACTTTTCTATTTGTTTTTAATCTATCAACTATCTATTTTGCCATCTACTTTAATTCAACATTTTTGTTCCATAGTGGTCTACTACAGTCATGTTTAGTCACAATGTTACTTCTTCTAACTTTATTAATATCTATTTTAAATCTACACTCATGTTACAAAGAACATTTACTCTTTCTTTTTCATTTCTCTCAAAATTTCTTTTGATTTCTCTTTTTACCTATTGAATGTTTCAAAATTGCATCTTAAAATCGAGTTAGTGAACAAAATTGTATTCTTAGTTTAAATTTAAAGTTTGGTTTCATTTTGGCATCTAACATTCTTCCATATTAATTTACCTTTCTCATCCTACTACATTTGTCAAATTCTTCATATATGTAATCTTACTCTATTTACCTAAATATCATGAATATTAGACACTTCAAATTGTCTCTTTATAAGAAATTGCTTAATTGCCAATGAATTTTGTTATAGGGATGAAAATTTGTAGGTAAATTGTTATTTATGTATATGTTTACCTATTGACCAAAATTTGTATATAGATATGTATTGTTTACATATTTATTAGTAAGTGAAACATATAAAATCATTATTATGAAAATAATTAATAGTAAATTATTCTTTATATGCCTTATTTACCTAACAAAATATTTTTATTAAACATTAATATAACAAACTTATGTACTCATTGTTCATAATTCTTAGGTCTTCTATATGTTCCAATTGTTCGTTATTATTTCTCATCTTAGATCTATAAATGCTCACCATTATTTATATTCTTCATAGTTCATGCATTCTTGTCTTTATGTGAAAAAGAAGAGTAATCTTAAGATTGTTCTTCATGTATGATGAGAAACAAAAAATGGGGTATGAAACTCTCCAAAAAAATTGGTGAAAGACTTTATCAACCCGTCAAAAAGAGTATTTTTTTTTATCTTAAATTCCTAGTTGATCTTATTAGATGTCCTAGAGATAAATTCTTTTGAAAATAGAGTATTTTACAATACATCTTCTATAGAAAGAAAGACATTCAAAGGTATTCAAAACTTTTAAAAAATATTAATTTATTTGTTCCCATCAATTTAAATAACACACTCAAAATTTAAAATCAATTTAACTCAAATATATATATATATATATATATATATATATATATATATATATATATATATATATTCTCTCAATTCATGAAAACCCAAATTAACTCGGAATGAACATTTAATAATATTTCAATTAGCATAATTGAAACCTTACATTAATCCAACAAAATGCCCTCGTAATAATTTCAATAACTCATCCAATCATTTGTAAAGGGCAAAATAGAAAAGGAAGACACTATTCCACAGGGTCAATTTAGTCAAAATAAAATAGTGAAGTCTGTTAAGGAAATAGGACACATGATCTCGTACAAGTGGGTGTGCGTAGAGATGAAAGAAAGAGTTCAAAATAGATAGTTTGGGGATTAAGTGATAGGGGATAATATATGTGGGATAGGAAGGAGAAAGAGGAGGGGGCATAATGAATATTTTCTCTCTCTACATGGTTCTGTCATAACTCTATTCTCAATTTCTTTTTATTTCTAAATTTACTAAGCCTCTAAAGTTTATTTCCTTATAAGGTTACACTCTAGTAAATAATACATACAGAACATATTTCTTTCCCTTATTTTTAACCCTTACATTATCTATTCCCAAATTTTAACATAATTTTATTATCATAAATTAAACAAGCAATTTGATTTTCATTATTTCATCTTAAATCAATTCTTAACATTGAGTTAAGGAACTCATAGTTTCCAGACACACTTAATTTAAAATAAATCATAATGTACTAAATAAAATTAAACTAGCTTTTCATACAAGAAATTTAACTATCCAAATAAAACTCCAAAAAGAGAATTCTACACAATATTTCCAAACTTATTCGTAGAAAATATTAGTAATCAAACTAGGCGTGCCACTAGAAACCTAGGTTAATAATGATTTAATTTTCATCATAAAATGTCACATGCAAACACTAAAAGCATGATAGCAAGCCTGCAGAGGAAAAAAAGAAAAAAAGAAGAATATATTATCTTCACGAAGACAATCGTTCTTGAAAAGAATGAGGAAAGATTTTAAAATCATCATAGAATTCTAAAGAGATAAAATGAATTTTAAAAATTTTATTTTTAGAAAGACAATAATTTTATATAAATAAAAAATAAAATATTTATAATAATTTTTAAACTTTAAAAATATTTTATTCTTTATTCATGAAACATTTTTATCCTTATAAATACTAATTATACTTATATGATAATATATATATATATATATATATATATATATATATATAAATCTTGCTTATTTATAAATAGGTTCACAATATTTTTTTCATCAAATAATCTATTTTAACATATATTAATTTTAATTATATACATATTTTTAAATAAAATATAATAATTTATAATGTAGTATATTTTGATTATATAGAAATAAATGTAAAAATAAAGTATTGTATTATATATTATTAAAATATAGATGTTACATTTGAGCTATTTTTATTTTAAACAATTGTACGATTATAGTTTTAGTGAAAAAAATGTGATCATTAAATGATGAAAAAAAATTCTCTCATATAATAATATATAGATTGTACATAATTTATTCATTTAGATTTAATGTTAATTTTTATCATTATATTCATACTTAATGGAACACAACCCAATTTATCATCAGCGAGATGATATGTTCTTAGCAAATAAAGTGAAAGAGAATATAAAACTTTAACGATGAAATATATCATGTATTTTCCATAATTAATGTTATATATATATATATATAATATGTAAAATGATCCAAATATAAATTAAAATCAAAATTTTATTAAAAAATTAAAATTATTTTTTAAAGCAAAATTAATCACAACCTAAAATTTAATTGAATTTTACTTCCATTATAAAAAACACGAGTGTAACTTTAAATTGTAATTTTTAATCATAAAAAGTATAATTTATTTATAAAAATTAAAATTATGAAAATAATCATAATTATATAATATTTTTTATAATACATCTCTTTATTTAAGATTTCTCCTTATAAAATATTGGGCAATATTTTTATGAAAAACATTTAATAATTTTATAATAATAAAAATCAAATCGAGCATGAATATTTGTTTTAATATTTCTCTCTTTATAATTACTTCTCAAAAGTAGTCCAAAATTAAAAAAATATTTTTTAAAGAAAATTATATTTTAAAATAATTAAAATATATTCATGAACTTATTTTAAATAATGATATAATATAATTTATATCTAAATAAAATTTATATTTAAAATAAAATATTTTTTAAATTTAAACTGAGATAAATATTTTAAAAATTAAAAATAATTTATTTAATTAATTAGATAAAATTTTTATAATAAATATTATAAATTTTAATATTTTAATAAATAATTATTTATTTTTATTTTTTAATTAAATTTTATTTTTTTTATATTTAATAAACTATTCATATAATCAGTTATTTTTAATAATTAAATAATTATTAATAAAATAAATAAATAAATAAATAAATAAATAATTATCGTATTTTTATAAAATAAATATTAAAAAAAATAAAATCTGCAGTTAAAAAATTAACATTAATCACTAATATAATTAAACAACATTACGGTATTTATCATAAAGAACAATATGATCAGTTTTAATTAAATAAATTATTTATAATTTCTAAAATATTGATTTCAGTTTTAAAATAATTTAATATATATTTAAGAATTTATTTATTTATTTAAAATATATTTTTTATTTTGATCTAGATTAAACTATATTATTATTTAAAATAAATATCTAAATATACTTTAAATTATTTTAAAATATATTTTTTAATATTTAATTAATTTTCATTTTAAGTTACTTGTGTAAAATATTGAAAGAGAAAAAAAATGAAAGAAAAAAAAAGAGGTTAAGTTAGAAAAAACAATAATGAAAAGTGAAATATAAAGAGAAAAAAGAATTATTAATAATAGAATAAATTGTTCAATTTTAAGCATAAATATCAAACCATATTAGAATTCATCTACTCTAGACAAGTTTGAGATGAAGCAAAATTATGAGGCATTTTTTTTTTTGTTATTCTAACACTTGCTGTTCTGTACTTGATTAAAAAATATGTCACTGGTAATCTCTTTTGGAAAACATAAGCAAGGTGAGCAGAACTTAAATATCAGTAGAGTTATTATTATGAGAACTTAAGTCACTGGTATTATTCTGCTTATCAAATAGAAACACTTCCAATTTTCTCAGTGTTACAGAGATTGATAAAGTTTGAGAGGTTTCATTGAAACCTTATGAGAAGAAAGTGCTTTACAGAATTATGTACACCAGAAATTTGTGTGTGCACTGCAATTATGCAACTGGTACTAGCCAATGCCATCATCATGGAGTTCTCCACTGAAGCTCAATTTGAATCCGTCCATTTCTTGAGTCAATAAGATGATATTTCTCGTTGATTCTCTTGTTGGTTACAACATCAGACAATTTTATATCCACGTAACCCAAATTTTCCTGATTTACAAGGATCATTAAAAAAATGAAACATAAAATCTCCAAAAACTAAAGTTAACTTATATAATAGGATGAAATAATATAATTAAAACCATTGATAGTGTCTCATGAGTTGAATGAGATCATTTGGAGATAGATGATAGTGCCTTTTTACCTTAGGATGCAGAAGGCCAATCCTTGAGGAGACACTTTGCACTTCAACATATAGTCTCTCGTTGGTGGGGGGTTCATCAAGCATAAATTGAAACGACTCACCCCATCTTGGATCTCTATTTTTCTTTACATGCTGTATAGTTTGTCACCAGAAATAGTCAAATTTTCACAGAAATGTAATGCTACATTTCAAACTCTAAAAACGACAGATGCAGCAACTTGGAGAGGTTTGTTTATGGTAGTGGGCTTCAGGATGCAGCAACTCTAAAACTGTAAAAGCTTCAATACACTGATGCTTTATATGCAGAAAGCAAAGATATCATAAATATGAGTAAATGGTGGAGCCTTTGGAGGTAATGGTCTTTGCAGCTTCACGTAATGACTTTTGGACTCGACCATTGCTTGAAGGTTTATGACTTTATAAACAGCAGTGAAGTAAAGAGAAATTAAGTTTTTATTTAAATTTATTTAGAGAAGGATCCCTTTTATGATTACTTCTATAAAGATTTTGTTGAGTTTCCTCAAACTGATTTCTGATAACAAAGCCTTCGTGGAAACTGAATATTATCTGAATCTTTGTTATATTGAAAACTGGAATACACCTGTGTATATATCTCAGAAACTCTTTGTTATATCAAAACATTTATTCCCTAGAAACCAAAGAGTTCCATAACAATACTTCTCAACAGCATCACTCCCTAAACATTCAGTAAACGTTTTTCACACCAAAAGACATTTAAATTAACTCATTATTAATTTTACCCAATGGGATTATATTTCATTTGATCCAGTTATCTCACTAGAGCCTCTAATAGTCTTCTTCTAACACAACAAATCACCGTATGGCACTTTTCTGTCATCTCCTAATGGACACCACCCAATTTTTCTGTTGGAATATGTATATTTTTCTTGAATACCCATTTACCTCATCATTTTAGTTTCTGCTACACTTATTTTTTTGCTCTTCTTGGCACACTTAAAAGATTCACCAAATCTAATTTACCAAAGGTGTCAAATTTAACCTCTTCCAGGAGAGTAAGAAGCATCATAGCACACCTTAATGACCAAAAAGAAGAAATAACAAATGATGACAAGCCTGATGGCAATAAATCAAAGTTGATTGTATCATATGCAGTGTATGATACCTTGGTTCTTCTCTCTTCTCCTTTAAATAGCAGCCGTGCAAACGGATTTGTGTGGTGTTTTCCTTCAACATCTTCAGCTTCATGGACAATAACAACAAGTAAACCACCACTAGAAGGTGTTCCTTCAGGAGCCTTTTCTATTGCATTGGGGTCTTCTGCATTGGGAGGTAACTCTCCCTCCTTAAAAGGTTTGTACAGAACTTCTACAGTGAGCTGTCCACGTGACTTCTCATTCTCAGGATCTTTAGGGTCCATGGTCTTGAGTAAATTAAGAGTCATCACTTTTGGTTCATCAGGGGTAATCTCTTTCAATGGAATGACATTCATACCCATCTTGTCATGCTTGCCAATCTATACCATGACGAAAGAAAAATCATGCTTAAAAATGCTTACTAGGAAACTTCCTATTCAATGAAACTAAATACTCTTCTTGACAGTTTATGAGAGTGTTCTAAAAGAAGTCTGACATCCAATTTTATGAATCGAGTATAGCATGTTAAGATACTACTTACCTGCTCCCAGTCATAAACAGTTAGCTCCAAAGCCTGAGATTCTGGATCTTTGACAACTATATTGAATTCCTCATTCCATTCTGGATTCAAATTCTTGTATTTCACAGTTGTTTTCTTTGAAGGAAGTTTCTCTTCTGTGAGTTTGAGTTTCACATAAGGGTCTGATGCCCCTAGTAGGTCTTTCTTTTTAAGCTTCTCTGCCCTTACAACTTTCACATGAAGGATTCCAACTGGCACTTTCATGGCCCTGATCACAAAGCAAGCAAAATTAGCTAGTTCAACACCTAATTTATAAGCTTGATGAAAGGATGAAATCATACATACTTTGTTGGATCCATTATTTGAACCTCTAAGGCCTTGGGCCATAGATACATTTTTGCAACTTGATCTTTAATGATTTCCTGAAAGAAAAAAAAAAATGAGGAAGAGAAATCAATACTAAATCTTGGCAAGCATAATAATGTAGGCATAACCAGTTATTTACATGTTTAGAGGACATGAAAATGCTATGTGCTTACCTGGACAATCCTATAAAGACCAGGAATAGACATTACATCAGCTCCAAGAAGTTTTAGTCCAAAATCAACTTGCGGCTTCAATCAAGAGATTCAAGTCAACAGAGAGGAAGAAGTGGCAAAGATATAAGAACATAAATGCGTAGATGGATGGAGGTAGGTGTGACATGGATGCTGTTCATGCAGACACACTGTTATAGTTTCCATAAAACAGGATTGTGTTTAAGAATATCCTGGAATTATTCTTTTGCTCATCACAATTTCAGTTATACTGAATCATCAATGCCTCAGATATCTTTGTCCTCGTTAGAGCTACGATGAAATATAGTATTAAGAAGTTTAACATCATACACACCTTCTCCATGAGAGACACGTAAATATTGGCAAAACATGGAAAACTTGGAACCAAAGGCTTCAGAGTTATACGAGGAGAAGCAAATACTTGCAGATCAACAACCTGAGGTTATTTAAAAGCATAATTACCCTTTATGAGAACAAAGTGTATGCATGTTACTTGAAAACTTCTACAACTGCCAACACAATTTAAACCAAACATTCTATTTTCTGTTCTTCAAAAAGGTCATGAAATACTAATATACCTGGACTGTGGCTCGAAGCCCAAATGCTTTAACTGTAACTAGAATATTAGGATTCCCAGCCCACTTCACTGATGGTTCCATAATCAACTCCTTTTCGTCAGTAGTATAGACTTTCATTCCTGACATATAGACAAACGAAAATTAGCATTAATCAATCCAAAATTCTTCTATTTCCTGAAAAATTGATCAAGCATTAGGTGTAGTAAATATGGAACCATGAAACATGACGTGACAATGATTTCATTTTGCAGTTCTAGCAATACCTGTAACACTGCAAATATAAGATTCATGGTCTAGTCAACCTAATTCCAGGGACACACTGCCTATATCGTAACATATTTCTTAAAATTTGACCACAATAATTTTCTTTCCCCTTTAACCATCTCAAATATAAGAAAAAAAAGTTGGTTATCATTGACACTGTTCTTATCCTTAGTTGCATTTGAGTAAACTATCCCACAACAAAATGTTGTGCAAATTTCAACTTAAATAATTCTGAAATCCTGTTAAGTATTGGAAGGTCAGCTTCATATAGCATGTCACAAGTAGCTAGACAAGACACATGAATTAGAATACTAAAGCCTGCCTTAAAAGTTAGAATATGAAAAAATTCAAAAATGCTAATTTGGAATGAAAAACATTTAATCAACATTTCCTAGCCAACTGTTAAATATTTTCTAGTTTAAGCAATGAGGTAATGATAAAAAGATGAGTCTTACACCATAGCTGCTTCATGTTCACAATACTCATGTGATGTGTGTCTCTATGTGGAAGTGAGAGTAAGAGAGAAAAACCTTGAAAAGTTGGTGGCAAAGAACCCAAGTTAAGTTCTTCAAATTCAACAGAATCAATTTTGTACTTTGGAATTTGCTCAGCAATAATTGGCTTTGCTATACTCCTTGCAGTTTTGCAAATTGCCTACGAAGATTGAATTGCAGGTAGTCTTTGAATTTCCGAACAAAGTAGTTGCACAAACACTACAATCTCATACATGCCATAGAAACAATTTCGAAAATCAATAAAGTGTGCATATACCTTGTCCAGATAAGGCCACATATACTCAATGAATTTATTAAGCCAGTCAAGCTGCAAACATGAAAATATTATTAATTTTCTGTAGAACCAGCAACGCATTTCTGGTTCCCAAGATAAACACTTATACATAGGGCCTGTAACTGTAAAGAATAACGTACACGGTCATAGTCTGGGTTTTTAATCCAAGAGGGTATCTCTGGAAGCAACTGTTGTAGAGTTTTAGAATCTTGCTCAACCAAGGGTTGAATTATTGGATCCTGAAATCAGACATGCCATAATTTGAAAGTGTCAGACAATAACTAAAAGAGAGGAAACAGAACAGCAGAATGACTTCTGCTCACAATGTTGAAATATCAAATAACTCATGTGGGATCTCCTTTGCTCTTCAAAAAAATAATAAAACCATAGAGAACACAATATTGTTCTGAAATGCCAAAAGAGAGAGAAATAAGGGAAATTACTTTTCAACAGAAGGAAAGGAAAAAATAGATTAACCTATCAATAGCATCTCTTTGAATGTCATGTATACTTAATTGCATGCATATGTTTATAAGAACATAATTTGCTTATATTTCTTATCATTAGTAATAGCTGAGTCCCTAGTAAAGTATTTTTCAGGAGTTTACTAAACTAATCGTGTAAAATCTACGATTTAGAAGTCTTTAATGAAATTATAAGAAGAAAACTCCCTGAAGTTTCTTTTCTTTAAGACGAAATAACAATAGCTAAAATTTTATAAAAATGACGTCGAATTTCGATTTGGCACAAGACGTATAAGGTTGAACAGGAGTGTTTCAAAATAATGTTTAGTTTCCTGAAACATAACACAATCTGGTCCTTTATGTTGATCTAGTTTCAATTTGTCCACCTTAAAATACCCCTCTTTCTCCACTAGGGAGTTTCGGCATTCTCAGAAATTCCTCTCAATGTTCTAAAATCAGGAAGACATTCTGTTTTTATCAAAGAAATCTACAGTATCATGCTTCTGCTACTGCTTATGCATTCCAAAAGCGATTTCGTAAGTCTTATAGATAAATAAATAAAAACAAAAGGTAAAGATCAGAAGTTAGTTTATCGATCTTCTGCAAACAAAAAAGAATGGAAACTACATAAAGTTCAGATAAAAGAAACAATAAACAAGAGAAAAATAATATACAGAGAAAACTGAACCTTAACATCAGTTGGCTGAAAGTATATGAATAAATAGTATCCAATCACTAGCCCAATTGAAGTTCCCACTCCAAATCCTAAAAAACTTGTTATTGTGCTCAGAATTCCCATCTTCAATGTCTTTTGTCTACCACTGAAAATTTATTTGTACTACAATGTGGAAAAAAAGAAGAGAAAGAAGAGAAAGAAGGGAGTTAAGTTGCTTCCATAACCAAAGTGGAACCATCCAAATCAAGAAAGGCTTTCAGTGAGTGCCTCCTATTGTTGTAGATGAGTAAATTCATTAAGAGTGCCAGGAAAAAAAAAGTAGTGGAAAAGACAAAGAAGTAGAATATCTCAATGTTATGATACAAGTGCAATAAAGAGACAGAGAAACAAGTGGCCAGTAAGACCTTGTTCAACTCCCACTTGATCCACACAACAGTTGTTGAAAAAGAAACTTGTAACAGCGTGAGATGGCACAGAGTGTCGGTAAGGTCTATTCGTTCAGATCTTTTGCAATACTATCAAGTTTTCAACAGCGTAGATGTTAACTTGGAGGATAATAATGATCCAACAGTGAAACATGTTGATCAGAAACCAAAGAAAATGCCTTAAAGTGGTGCAATAAAGTCAGGTCCCACATCGCTTTCTATTTTGTTTGGCTTTTCGATACTTTAGAAACGGATAAAGAATAAGATTTTACCGTTTTCTTACCAATCAATCAACACTTTCATAAAGTAACTGTTTGATAAAAATGAACGTTTCCAATATTTTACAAACAAAAAGAGTGTATTTTACTCTTCTCATATAAGAAAATGTTGAAAAAAAATATAAAGATTTTGTTCTCTTAGTTTTGTAATCAATATCTGTTTTACCCTTTTGCATGAATAGCTATTAGAAGTAATCAATATCTGTTTTATTTTTCTTTTAGGTAACAATCTAATTCTATTTTAAGAAACAAATAAAAACATTATTCGAATAAAAAGTAGAAAACTTGTCACCAATGTTGCGAAACTGACCTGTTCAATACAGTTTTGATATTATGACCTCTTAATAAAAAATTAGATATTTATACTAATCACTAAGCTAAAACAAATATTTAGATTAAATTTATTTCTTTAGTATATAATATAATATTATATATATTCAATATTTTATTCAAATTAATAAATATAATATTTTTTAGATAAAAATTATTTTATTTACAGAAATTGTATGAAAAAAAATATAAATACGTAAGATGTTATCATGTAAAAACGTTCCTAATCTTAAATTATATTATGTATAAACCCAATTAAACTGAATTAAACAATGTATCCTCCTCTACTGCATGTTGGATTCATAACACTGTGACAGTTGAAAGTTATGGCCCTGGAATTGAGGAATATGTAAATAGGGTGGGACCTCAATGTCTCTTGATATTTTTTTTCCATCCAAAAATTTATCACAATTTGAAAAGACAAGAAAAATAACCATTCATCTCTTTTCTTTAAAAAAAAATTGTTTTAAATGTTTAGATATTTTCTTTTAAAAATGTTTTTCATCTATAACAATATATTCATACTATATATAAAATATTTCTTTTTTTTAACCGTTTTAATGTTATCGAAAATAAAAATAAAAATCATGATAAATAAATAATATAAAAAGTAGAAATAAAAAAGAGAATCCAAATTTTTTTAAGAACTACTTATGTATTTAAAGAAAAAAATTTCTTTTTATCATAAATATATTATATTAAATTATAAATAAAAATAATATTTTATAAAATTATACTAAAAAAAAAATATATATGAATACATCACGAGTGTCTGTGTTTATATCAATTGAAAATATTTCGGCTACCTAAAATTACTACAAATGACACATTTTTCTTATTAAATATTGATGCAATTATATATAAGAAGAAGTCCAAAATAGTTATGAAAATGAATAAAGTATTTCCTTATTTTTTAATATTTTTTTGAAACAAATTAATTTTCTTACTTATAAATCCATTTATTTTGATACTTTACGTTAAATATTTTGTCATTCATTATTTAGTAGAGGATTAGTTTGTTTCTTTGTTTGAAAAAAAAATTGATATAAATTCTTAAAAAGTAACTCCTATGATGTTAAAAAAAAAAAGTTGTAAAATGTAAAGTAATTAGTTATAAAATTCACAATGAAAAGGAAGATATTTTAGAGTGTGGACTAAATAAAATCAAAGTTATTTTGAGATTATTTATTTCGTATTCAATTCAATTTGTTAGAAAATGGAATATTTTGTTATATATTTTTTTAAGTTATAGGAACTGAATCTTCTTTGATTCTGATCAAAATTTCACTCATATTTTCATATTGTATGCACAATTTAATTTTAATGAAAACAATCTTTTGGTGTAAACAAAGTTTAATAGATTGATTTATTTGAATAAATATAAATGGTAGATTGATCATGACTATGATCATAATTAGACTTAATTTAAATGTAAAAATACTTAAATATATATTAAATCAAATTGAAAACTTTAATATCAAATAAAAAAAACTTTCGAAATGAAAAATAAAGGTTTTAATTGTTTGAGTGTGTCTTTATTGTTAATTACAAAAGTTTAAATTAGTCTTATAAGCAAATTTTAAGATTTAATATGGTCTAATTTGAAACACTATATACTTTCAAATAAGAGAGAAAAATATTTGGTATTGTAATATAATATTATTTAATGGCATAAATAGAGTATTAAACATATTGCCCTATCTTTCAAAGCTATCTATTTAGTATTTTTTTTTTTTGAGGATAAAGTAATTTTTCAAATGCAGGAATACTTTATAACAAAAAGGAAGAATGTAAAAAAAAAAAAAAAAAAAAAAAAAACTTTATAAAACTAAAAGTAAGATGCATTTTTTATGTTAATTTTACAAGTATCTTCATTTAAAAAAATAGCTAAAATTATTTATTTATTTATAATAAAATTGTACCTGTCAGTCATGACCAATCATAATATGAAATGTAAAAGTTTCCTCCTTCTTCGTTACTGTTCTTATCAGTTTCAATGGGTACAACTTTTTACAACCTTTAAAATTTTTAGCATTATTTTTTTGTTTTTTGAATATTCACTTTAAAAGAAATGTAAATTTTACCTTCTAGAATTTCTGTTTCGCAATAAAGTTATATAGAGGTCAGGAATTTTGAAAAATGTAAAACAAAATTCATTGGAGATTTCAGAGAAATTTTTGTTGTTACTTTTTTATTTTTTATAAAAATAACTTTTTAATATAATGAAAATATTTCAGTTATGCATGTTATAATAATACGTCAAGATAAATTTCTACATATTATTTATTTTAGAATTTTCATCTGTCATAATTTTTTTTAAAATATATTTTAATAAATTAAAAAAAATATATGTAATGGGTATATATGACATAAATCGAAAATGTTGGCTGCAATCCATGTTTGTTTTTTTCTTGGACATAAGTACAAATCCATGTTTTTACCAACAAAAAGATTGGACATGTTACATAAAGAGAAAGATTGCACTTGCTGTATGTAATCATTATGTTACAGAGTGGTGTGTCGTACTTGGATTTTTATTCTCTGTTAAGAGATTAAAACAGTCTAAACAGCGCACATGTTGTGATTGTATTTTTTTTTTCTCAAAATATTTTTCATCATTATGACCAAAAACTGAATGAAACCATTTAATTGTGATAAATAGATCATATTGTTCCGTGTCACTTATTATTTTTTTCATTTTATAAAAAATTATTTGGAGTACGTTCATATAATTATTTAATTATTTTTTTATTCACTAAATATTGTGTACCTATATAAGATATGAAAATAACTTGCTCCAATCTTCTTGTTTTCATTCAAGTTCATGATATATTTTTCACTTAATGTTTTATTATAATAATATAATAATATTATTGACAAGAAGTTTTTATCATGCATACTAAAATTTTTCTTATATATATATATATAGAAACGGGGAGGTGACAGGAAATTTCAGCAAGCATTCTTCCTTTCATCTTTCTTCTTCTTTTGTCTAAATTTTAAGCAATGAGATTCTACTTGTGCAAGATCTCGGTAAAACGGAAGAGAACTTGGGTTAAGTAGAAAAACTTCGGTAGAAATATCACACAAAGTAAGAGAAAGTTTAATTCATTCAATATATGAAACTAAATTATTGGGTACTCTGTGAATAAGAAATAGGAGTAGAAATATGAATTATTTGAATGTCTGATTTTGCAGAATTTATGATTTTGATAATTGTTTCTGGTTTGAAAGTTTTGAAATTCTTGAAATTAAGGATGAATTATATGATAAAATGGTTGTTTTTTACTTAAATTGAACATATTTCATGTTTAATTTCGATTTGGAACTAGTTTGGTTGACTGAAACTTGAAAATTAGAAATCTGGAAAAAAATCTGGCATGGCTACTAGGTAGAGGAAGAAGAAAGGGATATGATAAGGATTTAAAAAAAAAGATCAAGGGTAAAATAGTCATTTTCGGGACATAGAAGGAATTTTCAAAAATGTCCAAGGTAAAATAGTCATTTAGGGACATACATAGAATTTTAAGAAAAGATTAAAGGCAAAATAGTAATTTAATAATTTCGGGATGAAAAAGGAATAATAGAAAATATTTAAAGGTATAATTGGAATTTTAGAAATAAAGATATGTTAAGAAAAATAATTAAAATATAGAATGAAATTAGAAATTTTAAAGATTCAGCAGTGTGTTCTGCAGTGTGTGCGTCAGATTGAGTCTAAGGGTTGATGCCCAGAATCAATAATGAGATGTTATGTATTGGCTAGACTGAGTCGGAGGGTTAGTGTCCAAAATCAGTCAAATACTATTATTTATTGACCCGAATAAGCTGTGAGGACAGGTGGTCCACACACTCTGGAAGATGTTAATGATTTTTGTTGTGTTTGAATGGTACTCGAGGTGGTAGAAAGTACATTAGTGTAATAACTATGTCGAAGGATTCTGAATGAGGTCCCAGACTTCACTGATTGGTCGGGTCAGGTAGACTACGAGATCAGGTGGTGAGAAGTCGATGGGAGATGACTGGTGGCGTGCTCGGAGGGGTACTCCAGTATGAGTGATGAAAGGCGTCAGTAATCCTACTCTATGTG